ATTACATTATATTTTGTATGTTTATGAATTTTAATTGTACCTTAATGAAATATTATATTTCTGTAAAAGGAAGAATTTAAAAATGACTGTAACTAATTTGATCAAGGCATTTTTATTGAGTAGCAGAATAAACTTAAATACAAAAAATGTGCAGCCCAAACATACTGTGGGTCATTAAAGTAGTAAAAGTCTTTTGTGTAATTGTGATAGGAAACGAACTGATATAAATTTTTCAATATATTACATACAAGTCCAAATAATTCTATGACTCATCAATACAGCTAGCAGTAATTCTAACTTGAGACTTCTCAACTCAAAGCAAAATTATAAAACTTGCAATCATGAGTCATAAAAACCAACAAAATAATTACCTCTCCTTCATATATCTGGGTTTCCACATCTACACCAGACTTGGCAGGAACAAAGAGAGGGGATGCAGGCCTGTCTAACAATGAGTCAGTTTGGCACTCAATGTTTTTTTCTTCAACATGGTAGCTCAGTTCTTCAAGATAGAGTTCTGTTTGAACAGGAGTATGTTCACGTCCTTCTACAGGTGGAGGAGTCTCTGTTTCATTTTCTCTTCTCACTCTTTGGCCTCTAGCAGATTGTTTTTTCTTTTTCATGTCCAGTTTACTATCTTCACTGGCCTAAATAAAGTGTGAAAAATTTCTGGCCAAAAACATTGCTAACAGTGTGGATATCCAACTGATGAAACAATGAATTCTCATTTTTACTTGTAAAAATGAAATAAAAGTATACTTAATTACATATACTCATTACCAGATTGATTTTTAGTTTTCCTCTAAGTAGGCAGTTTACTCTGATCAGAAGATAATATATACGAACATAATATACCTGTTAAGAAGTCTGTACTTATCATCCCACTTAAACAAATCTTATCAGGTTTTGATCACTTATAGATACTGACTATGCTAAATAAGTTAATCAGTCAAATAAGTTTTCTCCAATTTCTGATATTTTAAGATTTTAGCTGTACTGCACTGGAGCTGTAAGCATTTTAAATTAAGCACAGAGACAGCCTTATTCACAATTTACCTTATTTTATAATGTTTTTTAATAATTATGTATATACCAACGAAATGTAAACACATGTTAATGAAGTAACATCACTAAACAATTGTCATTGAAACCATACCTAGATATATGTAGTCATGTTGTAAGCTTGTTTTGACTAAGTACAATTTAACCACCTGTGTTTTGTATATATAAGAAAGTCATCATAAAATGCCCTTAGTATTAAACTTTAAGTGTTTCTTAATGCTTTCCAGGGGTGATTTAAAGTGGTTAACACATGGACTGAACAAATCAACTAACTCTGGGAAAGCATTTCAATTATGTATTATTCTCCATAAAAAGGTAGCTAAGCAAAGAGAAGTTTGGTTGTACTGTTTGAAAAATTTATATTAACTGCCTATAGTTGTGTTAAGTTTCAAAAAAAAAGTGATAAAGATGAGATATGTCAATTCTATAGAGTTTCATAAACGAAATTTTTACAAACATCATTTAATGAGCTATGACATCATAAACCCAAGTGAATGCCAATTCACCAAAGACTATTTTTGTTTTTTTAAGGATTTTAACAAATGCTACCTGGACAATGGAAATGGTGTGGACTTGGTGTACTTAGATTTTCAAAACGATTTTGATAAGGTGTCACATGAAAGATAAGTAAATGACATAAGAATGGAATGGAAAAAAGGCTAGTTAATTTAATTACTGTATGGTTGGATGGAAGAAAGCAAAAAGTTGTTTTTAACAGAGTCCAGTCAATCTGGATCCTTGTCACTACTGGAGTATCTCAGGAGTCAGACCTTGGGTCTTTGTTTTTTCTTACTTACATTACTTATAATTATAGGGGCGTAATAAGTAAATTAGTAAAGTTAAAGTTTAATCATGACATTAAAATTCTGGGTATTTTTAGCTGTATTCAGAACACTGAGGTATTTCAGAATTACATGGATCAGTTGGTAAGTTGGAGATATTTTTTGGCAAATGACTTTTAATCATAAAAAGTGCAAGGTAATGCATATGAGTTATTATAATTTGGATCCTATGTTTAATACAGATGGGAATCCACTCAATAACATGACTGAAGAAAAGAATCTTGGCATAGTGACATATAAGTAACTCAAGCCATTAAAGCAGTAATTATTTGCTAGTAGTAAAGTTAATATAATTTATGGATGCATTTATAGGTGTATTGAATACAAATCCAAAGAGGTAACTACCAAAATAACTAGTCAGGCTTCACTTCAAATACTCTGTACAGTTTTGGTCTTCATTGCCAGTCTTTGTGAGGAATCAGTTCATATGCAAATGCATACTAATACATCATCATTTAATTGGAATGTACTCTTTTCATTCATTTTATGCATTCACTCTATTCACCATTATTCATTTATTTATATTATTTGACATTTTACATACCTTTAACCACCTATTATAAGAGTTTATTATTATTTGTGTTGATTATCTATAAGACCCGGTAACTTATTGCACATTCTCTAGTATGCCAGGAGTCTAGTGTGCGACAGAGTTAGGCTGTGGTTTTAAGAATGAGTGAGATACACACAGGATTTTGGCACGGTGTTAAACTGTGTCTAGGCCTATAGATCCTACAAGGAGGAAATAAGTTAGGCCTGTGATGTGACCTCAGTGTGAGAAGTTATGTATTGACACTTCAGTAATGTACAACTATGAATGTAATTTTATTGTCAAGGTAGTTTGTAGCCAGGGGTTTGTAGTTGTCTAAGTGGTCTATTGTTGTGAATCTTCTATACTGGTGTGAGCTGGTCATGAATAACTTGTGGGATATCACATTTGCCAACTGATGTGTTGGTTAGTTCATTATTTAAACATTAAATTATCTTGCATTATGTCTTATTAGAAAATAAAAAAGTGAAAGAAATGAGTTATTTAAATATGAAGTAAAAATTAGTCCAAAATGTACACTGTGCAACTACATGATGCTTTTACTAAAGACCATGTAAAAGTAACTTAAAAATTTTTTATTTTCTTCTAATGAACCAAATGGTTATCCTATAGAAGAATTATTTCAAAAATGTGTGAACAATTAACATAAACCTTAAATTTCTGATGGTAGTAATATCCTTCCACAATAATGATTAGATAGATGTAATGACTATAAAAATAGATTTTTTTAAAAGGTACAGTAAATCATCTTTACAAGGGAAAGAAACTTCTGTTCAATGTAAATTAAAAACAATCTGTTGCTCATGCTGCAGAATAGCAGTACATTTTACAGTATTGTTGAAAATTAAGAGCTGTATATCCTAGGAGGGTTCAAGGCTACTATCCTGATTCACTTTAATAATCATTTATTAGCTGATTATTTGGGAATGGCCTAGACAGTGGCAAGAATTCATAAAAGGGTATATTGGCTAGCCAGTACAGTACAAGTAAAAAGCACTGCCCCATTGGACATGACCAGATGCATTATTCTTACTGCACTCATAAGTCCAGACTGTTAAAGATTTTGTATCTCAGTCATTTTATGTCTGTGTTAGTTTTATCAGCTGTGGATGCACCCGAAAATATTGAAACCTGGGTTGCAGGGTAGTTGACTGTGTGCCCTGATCAAAGCCTTAGTTGCCAAGGTGGGCCTCCTATTAAAACCCCTTTGGACACTATGAAAACTTAATAGGACAACAAAACAATTATTAGTGTCAAAAGTAACCTTTAGTTTGTATAATTTTTTTTTTTACATGAAGTAATAATGAGTTTTGATTAAATTGGGAATTTACGATAGCTTTCTAAGTTTTGGAATTTCACATTCCTTTGCTTCAATTAGTTAATTTTAAGGGATAAACATAAATATCAATCATTTTTCCTTCTATATAAACTCAAACTAAATGTTATAATTTTCCTATACTGAAAATGTATTTGCGATACCCTCCCCCCCTGTTGGAAATATCATTTTCCAACATGTCTCTCATGCAAATCATCATGCATCATCTGTTAACCAATAGTAACCTGACATCCTCATGTGATGCATGTGACTCCCTATATACTCCTCTACCAAATTTTTACTTCAGAATTTGGCAGAGGTTTGGCAGAGTTTGGAGGTAAGTACCAATCAGAAATACATTACTTACTTTTTCTCACAAGATTAGCTAGAATCCCACATTGAAAAGGAGGAGTGACCGGTGCAAGGAAACAAAAGAAGCACTGCCAAAAGCATCTGAAGGATACCTCTGAACTTGAGAGATAGAGAGCTGAAGATCAGACAAGGGGAACCACACTACTTCTGAGCCTGGTATGCTCTTCACTTTTGTGGACAATGTGACATTCACAAGGGTAGAAATGTGAGGTGTAGAGTGGCTAGGGTGCATCGAACCATACTTGGTAAGTCAACTACATCCAAAATCTCCCTGCAGGGCACCAACATCCATGTGGGGGAAGCATGACGATCATACTGTTTTCACCTTGTACCCAAAAATTGGAGTTTTAAGACTCACACTGATACCTGGATATACGATGGTGACAGGATGTATATCAAATGAAATCAACTCCCCCCAACTGTGGTACAGGCCAGAACCATCCAAAGACAATAACATCCATGTAAGAAGAACAAGGGATAGTCCAGGAGAGTACCAGAAACAGCCCACTAACTACACAGTGATGAAAGACACAGATGGAGCAATTGAGGGAGGAAGAGAGACAACCTGCCTCTATGGGAGAACTTATGTTGATTGGTTCACTCTAATCCAAAACCTCAACACCAATAACTGACATCAGTGCGAAGGTAGGATTAGGGCATCCAATCGAAGGGTGAACTGCAAATGCAATGGCTCAACTCCAGTATAAAAGTAAAGTGAATCAGGAGAACACAGGAGGAAGCAAAAGGCAACATCATCTCACAAGATGATGGCACTACTCCCTGATTTTGTAAATAGAAGCAGGAGGCCACATCAACCTAGAAGATGATGGCTCAACCCCTATGAGTGTAATAGGGATAAGGAGGCCACATCAACCACAAGGCGATGGCTCAACTCCATTAGTTGTGTAAGTGTGAATAGGAGGCGACATCACCCAGAAGGCTACAGCTCAACTCCACTGGTTGTGTAAATAGTTGTGGGAGGCCCCATCATCCTGGAAGGAAATGGCTCAACTCCAGTGTTGGTGTGTAACACGATTAGGAGGCCACTTCAACTAGCAAGGTGACAGCTCAACTCCTCTGGAGCCCATGTCACATCTACACCAGCAGAACACCATCACCCTACTCTCAACTGAATGGTCTGGGGAACTCATTCAGGAAGGTGTCTCTATGGCTTGGAACTGAAAGTGGAAAGGACTATCATACTCCACTCAAAAAAGGAGGGTGACTATGTCGTGGAGAGTCCGGAAGAACGTCATCACTGGAGACAGTGCAATGGGTGACCATAAAACCCTATTTTGAAAAGCAGACTATACCTGGTTATTCATCCAAGGCATGGCAGGGATGGGCAGCAATCCCCTTCTGCTTTATCCATGTAGTCTATGAGTGGTTCCATATTGTTTTGTGACAAAACATGTCTGAAACCAAGCAGATGAACCTCAATAGGTTTACTGTGCATAGAGGATACGTTGTTCTCCTTTTGGTGGAGGACTACAGTTTAATACTGTT